TCGGGTAGAACCGACCCATTGATAGCCCTAGCAAGATATCATCGACAGAGACCAAGAGAATAGTGAAGTCTGAAGTGGTCTTATGAAATAAGAGTGAAACATCAGCCTTGGATTTAGAGAACTCCATGGACAGAAAATGCTCATGATGGCGGTGGAACCAAGCTTGTGGAGCTTGTTTGAGGCCATATAATGATTTGTTAAGCTTACAAACATAATGAAGATGCTTGGGATCCACAAAACCAATGGACTGTTGCATATACACCTCTTCTTGTAAATTTCCATAAAGGCATTATAGGCATTATAGGCATCTAGATGATGAATGGGCTAATTATTTGTGATAACAAGACTAAGAACCAGCCAAATGGTAGGGGGCTTGACAATGAGACTAAATGTCTCGGTGTAGTCCTAACCCACTTCGTAGTTAAAGTTCTTGGCAACCAACCGAGCTTTGAAACGGTCAATGGACTCATCGGGCTTCCATTTAATTCAAAACACCAACTTATTACCCACAATACCAAGTTAAACCCAAAGATTTTGGTGAATAGACAAATTGGTAATTATTGAGTGCCTTGAGTATTTATATATAAATTCTGTAATTTACAAGAGATAAGTATAAATGTGAAACAAGCTTTTGAATTTGAAAATAAACAATAGATATGCATAACGCCCCAAATCAGCATGTTATCACTTGTGTAACATTGAGTTGTACCTAACACAGATTGATGTATCTTTGTTTACATTCTCAAAATAGGAGCCATCCACATAGATTTTATAGCTCATAAATGATATGTGGGGATCCTCCAATGAAGCTATGTTCTTCTAAGTTACCAAACTTCCTTAGAAAGCATGTACAACAATATTTTCAAAAGCAACTCTTCAGGTTTTATAGTCTTGTATTCTTGTATTTTTATGTTCTTCGGAGCCCATATGAATTTGTGCCCTAAGCCTCCTTTACACTTCTCCCAACTTATTACTTAAATGCCTTTCTTTCCCCTTTGAGTTCCACCAAAAATCCTTGTACATCTTCTCAATTCTGTTTGTTATATTTTTTGGCAACAAAAGCATGTCCATTGTATAAACCAGTATGGCTTGAGCCATGGATTTAATAAATGCCAACATTCTAGCATGAGGCAAATTCTTTGCCCTTCATAAAAATAAGTGACTCATAATTCTATGTACCACTATGCTTCATGTTTTCATTTTCCCACCCATAACTTGGAGCTTAGGTATTTGTCATTAAAAGATAGAGATCCCACTCCCATTATTCTTGGCAACATTTTTTTTTTCTTTCTATCTATGCATATTTTCACTAAAATATATTCCATTTTTGTCTATTAATTCTCTAACCATGTTATCTCCTCAAAAAACCATAAAGTGTTTTTCATTGAATTAATTTGTTGGAGTTCATTTTTACAAAAGAAAAAATAATCATTTGCAAATAATAAATGAGGTGTGGTAGTTACATCTCTCCCTAACTTAATGTGTTAAATCTATGTTTTTTCTTTGCTTTTAAAGAAGAATAAAAAGGAGTTGCATTGATAAGATCAAAAGAAAGGGAAATAGTGGATCACTTTGTCTAATCCTTTTTCTAATTTCAAATAACTCATGTACAACTCCATTTACTAATCCTTCTAATTTCAAACAACTCATGTACAACTCCATTTACTTCGACATAAGTTGACAACAATGGTATGAGAGGGCATGGTTTACAGTATCAATTACATGGAAACGGGTGAGATGGCTGAAAATCAACATTATTCCGCCCATATCCATAGTATTGGACCAATAATGGCAAAGTATTGGTCTGTATACCAATATGGACTGATATTGTGAACATATCATGTCAATGTGTTTGTTTTTTTTTTCTTTACATTTGTTTTGCTTCTTTTAAATTCATATTCAAATTCAAATCCTAGACATCTCTCCCAATTAACTATCATTAATTTCTATATTTACCTTCTTTAGCTCCTATTACAAATTTAGATTCCCAATTTAATTTAAGGCATCTTTTCTAATTACTTAATTCCAATTATTAATTTCTCTATTTACTCATTAATTCCTAAGGAATAAGACACATTTACTTAGTTCTCACTTAACAAACACTATCAAAGTGTGCATTGATATTTGATGAATAATGGTATTTTTTGAAAATTATACAAAAAACATCATTTATTTTTGGGTTCGACTATGATATAGAAAATATATAATATCTGAAAATTTACTGACCAGTCTACTGAAATCATAAATGTGATAGCTAATCAGGTGTTATTTATCAAAATCTATGAATAGGTTTTGATTGGTCAAAACTCTTCCCATACCATATCTTTTCCGCAACATAGATTTTCCCTTTATTATTTAGTGAGAATGGTTTTCTTGTCATTTGCACACATTGTTGTAATCGGACAATCCCATCATATGACTTCCTAAACCAAACATTTTGTCTTTTGGGCTAAAAGGTGTGCAGCTCCCTTGATCTCCCTTTCAGTATACATAAAGCATATCTAATCAAATTTCATAGAAATCAACCGAATTTTGTCCAAAGATGCCCAATAAAACCAATCCACATCCTTTTTCTCTCCCATTGAGACCTAACATAGCCTTCTAACTTTTAGATTCTGCTATAGACTAGCAGTAATACACAGAACTAGTTCTATCATCACATTAGACTTAAAAATTCTCCGATTGTAAGACAACAATAGATTATTTAACCAATGAGCTCCTAATTGAGCTAATGTTTTTAACCCAAGGTTGGTTTAGATGGTCAAACTATTTGAACTATCACCTGGTCACAATTCCATGTTTAGGTCTTATAAACCCAAAATCTTTCAAAAATTATTGATTGGGTCAAAAACTATTTGACTTGAGTGATTGAACCCTTGACACATTCGACCTGAAAACTATAACTTACTCTCCAAAATATGATTATGATGATCTTTTCTTTTTTCTTTTTTAATTATTTTGGATCATATTTCAAGATCTATGCATCTCAAGGTGAGGAATGTCCTACTATTTTTTTTTCCCAAAAAAACTAATTTTGTCCTAAAATCGTAATTCTGAGCATTTTTATTAATAAAAATTAAAAGTTGAATTAAAGACATGACGTAAACATAAAATAATACTTATATATATATATTACCTGTAAAATATAATAATATAATACATATTGATACCTATATATGCATATTTATATATGTATATTAATTTTCTGATTGTGACGGGATGATCTATTTGTCCTAATAAAGAGGAAAAAAACGGTTCAGACAATTGGACCACTCAATCTGTATCCCTGAGACAAAAACGGTTCCATGTCCGATTCGGTTCAAATCATACTCATTACACATGTTACGGAAATTCTGTAACAGGGAAATGATTTAACAAATTTCTAGAAAGTAGGAAAAGTTTTAACCCATCTCTAACATTATCAAGGAAGTGTAGGTAGTTTCGAAAAATTTCCTGCTTATGAGCCAAACGTGTCAAAAACTCAAAATAGGAGGACGCAATTACCCTTTTAAAGAAATAAATATTTACAAATAATACCTTGGTTCTTGACGAGATTATCACCACTAAAACCAAGGTGCCCTTCCTTTCCTGACAAAAGCTGATGAAATCACGTGGCCTTTTCGGAATGGCTTCTAAAGTTCCAATTTTTCATCTCAGACATGACGATGACGCCATAACCCATAAGTGGCACAGATGTAAATTGTTCCAACTTCGAAGGCAATAGAAAATCCCAGTAGCCACCGATAACACCGTATTACGGAAAAATCTGAAAAGTTCAGCGATGATCCACAAAGACGAACCTAACCTTTAAGCTAATCGGCTTGGTTGTGCCAAGTACGAGGGCATTGGAGTAATTCGGTAATCATCAGAGTTCTCCGTTTGGACATTAAAGACATTTTCCTTGTTTTCGGGAAAATGTAAGACTTTTTCAAATAAAATACGATTAATTAATAATTAAGTGAGACGAAACGTCACACTCTCAAAGATGTTCAGAAATTTGTTCGGACAAGTTTTGGATCTTAATCGCTTTATGCTTTAGAAACGAGACGCGAGAGCAATTAATCTACCGAAGTTTTCACCAGAAGAGGTCTTCTGTGAACTGCAACAGAGATTCTAGCTACTAGCGAGATCAGGCAGTTGAAAACGAGATTTCATTCTGGAAAACGTAAAGCTTTAAGTCAAGACAAACTCCAAAGGAAGCGTAAAAGAAATAGAACAGTTTCGTTCGCTTCTGAAAGCTCTGCTCCGTCAAATCAGAATTCAGAGATGCGTTAGTCATAGAATCTGTGGTTTCTGCATTTTTTTTAACGTTAAGATATAGACGGACCGATTCTTGAATTATTCCTCTCGGTTTAAAAATACGGAGATTTTTAGTGGAAATCATGGCAGAGATTAATAATAAATAAGCCTTCATAATTCAATGATTTATGGAGTTTGTTGTGCGTCTGATCAGTCAAATGTGGCAGGGGAAAGGGAAGAAGACATGAATGAAGAAGGGGTGGGCCTGTGGGAGGAGATGTTCGAACTTCGAAGCATCGTGGAGGGGTAAAATTGTCATTACTGATAATAAAATGGAAAGGTCAGAAATCATGAGAGGGAGGCCGTACGGATTTCCCGTTCATGGCGGGGTAAAATTATTGAAAGAAATAGCTGTCTGTCGTGTTCATATCAGTAAATATTATAAAAATAATGGTAGAGTAGTATAATATTGTCATTTGCAGGGGCTTTTCTCGCATTGTTATTATTTGTTTACTCCACGGAGGAAAGATTCCTCCTTACAATACGCTCAATGCGCAGTGCGCATTCCAGGACTAGGCGCTCCCACGTTGTAAATATGCTTACGTGTCAGCAGAAACAGAGGGATGTGCGCACTGCGCATCCCTCCTGCTCATTAGTTCCATTATTATTTTTTTTTACCTCGCTCTATTTTTCTGCCATGTCTGTCACTCTGTCAGTGAGTTTAAGTTAATAAAGCCTTTTTCCCTGCTTTTGCTATAATACGCAATGGGTCGGCTCACAGACTCTCTGTCTCTGGTTGTTTTCAGAGGCTTAGATCTTTCCCTCCTTTTGGGTTATAAGGGTTTGTTTGGAGATTGGTAAATGGTGGATGGTGGACACTGGACACCCAAATCCAAATGACATCTAAGCATTCCAAACCATTTCTCTGATCTCTCCATTTTTTTCTCTTCTCTTTACCTGAGCTGTCTTCGTATGGGGGAGGGGATTTGAGAGCGACCTCCATGCCGTATCTGTCTTTCCGCTTATAAGGTTTTGAGATTCTTTCGATTTTTCCCCTTCTTCTGGAGACGCTTCAGGTGGAATAACTACAATTTCTTTATAACTTTTTCCTCTTTTTTGTTATTCTCCGTCGTCGAATTTAAATTGCAAAACTGTCTATTTCTTTCGGTCTTTGGTATGTTTTTCTTGGGTGCGAGCCTTTTCATGGCCGATAGATCGCATTTATGTTTATAACAGTAGCGGATTTGTTTTTCTTCTAATCTTTTTTTCCCCAGGTGCTGGAGTTATTGCAAATGTGAATTTCCATACGTGGTCTTAAAGCTTTTGTTTTTTCTACTGAGGAGATAAACCCGTTTTTTCTGCAACTTCTTTTTTTAATGTGACCTGCAGTTTCCACGATGGAGCTCAGCCAGTTTTTACTCTAGCATTCGGTTATATTATCCTAGACCTTCGAAACGAGTGAAAAAAATGATCTTTAGTTCAGATTCTTAAGAGTTTCCTTTTATTTGTTCCCAAATGGCGTTTAGGTTTTAGATTTTGAGGTTTGAGTAGGCATGGCTTCTAAGAGGCAAAAGGATTCGCCGGAGGAGGAGAAGAAGCAGGCTTCGTCGTTCCCGGACGAGGTCTTAGAATGTGTTCTTGGTTTCGTGAAATCCCACAGGGATAGGAGCTCTGTTTCTCTGGTTTGCAAGGACTGGTACAACGCCGAGAGATGGAGTCGTACGCATGTGTTTATAGGGAACTGCTACTCTGTTTCTCCTGAGATCCTAGTTCGGAGATTTCCCAACATTCGGAGCGTTACCCTGAAAGGGAAACCTCGGTTCTCAGACTTCAACCTTGTTCCCCTGAATTGGGGAGCCGATATCCATGCTTGGCTGGTGGTCTTCGCCTCAGCTTATTCTTTTCTGGAGGAGCTGAGACTCAAGAGGATGACCATCACTGACGAGAGCCTGGAGTTTCTCGCAAAGTCTTTCCCAAACTTCAAAGCTCTCTCCCTTGTTAGTTGTGATGGATTCAGCACTGATGGCCTTAAAGCTATTGTAGCTCATTGCAAGTGAGTTCCCTACTCGCTTCTTGCTTCATTTTGTCATCCCAAATTGCAGGTCTGCTGCATTTATTTTTCTCCTTTTTTAACGTATTGTAGCTTTGTTTCCTTCCAAATTAGTCTGCAACTGTTGGTTGTGATATATATGTATCAGAATAGCTAACTCTCCCCACCCTACCAGAGAAGAAAAAGGAAAGAAAGTTCCTGTCTTAGCAGTTTGCGGTTTGCTAATGTATAGATTGATCTTGGCTGGGGGGGGGGTGTGGAACTGGTATTCTATTCAAGGAAGAACGTATCGGCATCTTAGAAGTGATTGCATTCTTTTCTCCCCCTTTCTCCTTCATTCCTAGATGTGATCGATGAGTTTCTAATGTGGACATTTACTGAATGGCATGTCGTTGATATTGTCTTCAGCACAAAAATCTCCATTTTCACGGGGAAAGGAAGTCTATTGACTCCTTTGTTACCATTGGAGAGACTTGATGCTTCAGAAACTTCTAAACGACTTAGTTAATTCAATTATTTAATGGTTGTGCTTAACAGATGAGATTATTTCAGTTGGTGTTTGGAATATTTCACTATCTTTTCTGTAGCCGCTTGTATTCGTGGTTTCCCTTAGCTGACAAATGAATGATCATTTTTCTAAATATGTAGCAGCTTTTAAAATAGTTTATTTAGTGAAATGACTTGGATTCATGACAAGGATGTATTCATTTGAAATTAGACAATATGGCCAACAGGAATAATCTGTAGAAGTGGTAATATGGTTGACCTCTGAACTGCACAGCTTTGATAGTGACATCTTCCCTATTCTCTGATCTTATCTTATTTTAGATGGTTTCTAGATCCCTTCTCCTTGAAGCGTAAAGGGAGGGAAGCATCCAACACCACTTTCTTCTCCATTGGAGAGCAAGAATTAGAATGAGGTTAGACACATGCTATGACCCTTATTCCATGTTAAGCTAGGTGACGTGGTTCTGTGATCACAATAGGCTTATTGACATGTTGACCCACCAATCTTTAAAGGATCTGTTGTGCAAAAGCAATCTTTTATTTGCTCGTTCTTCATGGAAAATGAAAAGTTTGTCACTCTCAACGTCATTTTCTTTCCAAATTACTTGCTGTGTACTGAATTTTACACTCCGAAAAGCAGGCAAATAGAAAAAATTGGAGTATTTTCTCCAGATGCAGGGCCCTAAAATTGATTTCCATTTGTAAGGATATTTCATATTTGACTTTCCAACATGTGAAATTGTGAACTACTGGGAATTTTTCCTCTTTATCTTCTTTCTCCCCTGTTTGACAACGTCCAGTCTCCAGTGCATGCGTTTCTGTCAATATGCATGCTATATGCCATGATCTCTTGTAGAGAGTCTCCAGCCACATACTAATACAATAGAGATGCATGGAGGGAACATCTCCTCCATTCCGCATTTGTCAATTGAGAAATTTTCATTTGTGTTTGCCTGTTTGGTTTATCTGAAAATTAGTGTGAAGGGGAAGTTGTAGGAAAGTCCATAAACCATTTTATGAATTCCTTAAGAACTTACCAACGAATTTCCTCACTTATTTTCCAAGGAACCAAGTGCAGTTTACCTAATCTGTATGCGTAGTGTAGCATGTGTCTGGCACACTTTAAAGGTAAGTAACTCACACCATTGTACATGGGGTCACGGACTATGTGTTTAAAGATAAATAACCGAGTGCAGTTTACAACAATTTGTTTATTCAATTTTAGTTTCCCAGTTTTGCAATTAGTGTTCATAAGAATATTACAAATTTCTTCTTTCTTATTGCAGTAAGCCAGTAACTAATTTTCCATGTATTGTTATATTTCTCATGTTGAACCACAGCTGTTAACTCTTGTACCTTAATTCAATTTGAGTTACAGGAACTTGACTGAGCTGGACATACTGGAGAATGGAATTGATGATCTTGGAGGAAGCTGGTTAAGTTGTTTTCCTGAGAACTTTACATCATTAGAAGTTCTAAACTTTGCAAGTCTGAATAGCGAAGTCAACTTTGATGCCCTGGAGAGGCTTGTAGCCAGATGCAAATCACTCAAGGTATTAAAGGTAAACAAGAATGTGACTCTGGAACAATTACAAAGGCTGCTTGTGCACACTTCTCAGTTAACAGAGTTGGGGACGGGCTCCTTCTCACAAGAGCTCACACTTAGGGAGTATTCAGAACTGGAAAGTGCATTCAGCAACTGCAAGAACTTATATACACTCTCAGGTTTATCTGAAGCAACTTCTTTATATCTTCCAGCACTATATCCTGCCTGTGTGAATCTGACTTTCTTGAATCTAAGTGATGCTGCATTACAGAGTGCTGAGCTTGCTAAGCTCCTTCCTCATTGCCCACATCTTCGGCGCTTATGGGTAAGGAGTTTTCCATCCATAACTTTCTAAGTGGTTTACTTGTCCCCATCCTCCACTCAAAAGGAAAATACTTTGGCATTGTAATCACTGTGGCTGGGAATAGTGGAGGGGAGCTATTCCCTCAGTCCCTTTGTTTTACTTAGAACATAGGGGCTCAGATCTGCTATCCACAAGCTGTTCCCACTTCTCTACCCATGGAATATTACAACTGCACATTGGGAATATCTCCCTTGTCATTCATAGGGAGATGTTCCCAATACATGGCGGTGGTGTTCTTGTGGCAGGGATGTGGGAACTGTTCACGGTTAGTGGATCTGGAGTACGAACACGGGGCACATCAAGGAAGATTATAGTTCCCAAGTCTAGGATGTTCCACATGCCTCAACTTAAAAAAATGGATAGAACGTATTTTCCTAGGATGTTCATACAAGTCTAGGATGTTCCACATGCCATCACAGGCTGAAGCTTTCAAGTTCTGGACATAGAATTTTTTTTGAACATCTGTATTCTCCTGTGTCATATTGTATGAACATCAAAGGAACAACTATATTATGGTTATTAAATATAGTTGATGGAACCAGGACACCCAAAACCTTTTGACCCTTTGTGCAATCTTCAATATGTAGTAAGTTGGTAACCATGGGTTTTTCTAGGTTTTGTCTTCAATACTCTTCCTATTCTTAACCATCATCACCTTTCTTATTTTAAGTGTAAATTGTTAGTGACCCATTCAAAATTGTAGCGGTTAAAACAATGTTCACTGTTGAGCCAAAGAACTGGTTTAAAACACTTTCATCAGCCCTTTGTCACAAAAATACATGGGAAGAAAGTCTCTCTTTAACATGCACTGGTACACACTGGCTATAATAGCCAAAAAGAAAGGAATTTTATGTTTTGAACTTTGGTCATAAGCATTGGTGCAGAGAAAACTGTGCTGATGGATTACTGTGTCAAATGCAACTGTAGATTCCAGATTCAATTAACATAGAAACATTAAAAACATTGTTATTTGGTGTTCAATTGAGTCTTTAGTTCTCTACCGTTTGCTCCATTGACATTAACAAAATAACCCATTAAAAGAGTGCCTTCTGATGCTGTGCTATTTTTCTAAATCATCATTTTATTGCAACTCTAACCCTTTCCTTTCATACAGGTCTTGGACACTGTAGAAGACAAGGGGCTTGAGGCTGTGGGGTCCAGTTGCCCCTTGCTTGAGGAGCTCCGAGTATTCCCTGCTGAACCCTTTGAACAGGATGTTGTCATTGGTGGAGTGACAGAATCCGGTTTTGTGGCTGTCTCTCAAGGTTGCCGGAAGCTTCATTATGTCCTATATTTCTGTCGGCGGATGACCAATTCAGCAGTAGCTGCAGTAGTGAAAAATTGTCCTGATTTCACTCACTTCCGTCTCTGCATCATGAACCCTTGGGAGCCTGATTATCTGACAAAGGAGCCAATGGATGAGGCTTTTGGGGTAGTGGTGAAGACATGCACCAAACTTCAGAGGCTTGCAGTCTCAGGCTTGCTCACTGACTTGACATTTGAGTATATTGGGAAGTATGCAAAAAATCTGGAGACCCTCTCAGTGGCATTTGCAGGCAGCAGTGACCGTGGTATGCAGTGTGTTCTGGCAGGTTGCCCAAAACTAAGGAAACTTGAGATTAGGGATTGCCCATTTGGCAATGCAGCACTGCTGTCAGGGCTGGAGAGGTACGAGTCTATGAGGTCACTCTGGATGTCAGCGTGCCATGTGACAATGAATGGTTGTAGACTGCTGGCAAGAGAGATGCCAAGGCTGAATGTAGAGGTGATCAAAGAGGATGGAAGTGATGACACTCATGCTGAGAAGGTTTATGTCTATCGTTCTGTTGCTGGGCCAAGAAGGGATGCCCCACCTTTTGTTCTTACCCTCTGAAAATAAAGAGCAAGGTACTTTCTCACTTTCTCTGGACTGAACTTATTGCTTGATTGGCCAGTTTGGTTGAGTCAGTAAACTGAATAGTGCATTTCAGTTGCCCAAAATGACATGGCCGGTCCGTCATACATTAGGATGAGATGCTACTGAAATAAACATCAGTAGATCTTCCCATGGGAGATTTTTTTTTTTGATACGTAATCTTACCATAGGGTACGAGTGACTGCTTTTTAGCAACCGGGAAAAATAACTTGGTTCCACTGCCTTGATATCATTGTAACAAGGGCTTTAATGTTTATTCCCCTAGGAGCGACTTTAGAGGTTATTTTTGCCGTGGAGTTTGTTCTCTTAGGTTCATGTTATTGGATGGTCCTCAGGATTACACTTCACCACAGAGAATCTGGATTTCCTCCTTACAGAATTCTCCTCACAGCACATTGAAGCTGTGCATTGGGAACATCTCCCCATGAATGAAAAAATACTAGTATGGGAGATGTTCCTGATGTGCAGTTGCAATGTGCTGTGAAGTGGGTGTGAAGAGGAAATCCAAACTCCACACAGAAGTGGGATTTCCTAGGTCCTGTGGTCCGAGTACTTTTACTCGGTAACTTGGAAGAGATTTTTGTATCATCAGCTATGACTGGCTGTGCGCCCAGCCAGGAGAAGGATGTGTTTGTCCTTTCAGGAAACTAGAAATTCATGGGGACCTAACTATGCTGTCTTGATTTTTGACCTGTGATGTGGAACATTTTTCTTTATTTGTGGTCTAGGACTGGTGCCCTTGATATTGTTTAACCGGTCACCATAGAAGGGAAACCAGGCATCCGAAATGCGAGTGGTGTACTCCTACCCAAGGTGTTTGTCAATGCTTCTTTTATAAATGTTTGCTCAATATTGGCGTTCCCGTGTTGGTGTTTAAGCATACATCCATTAGATTCTATAATTCCTGATCTTTTGAGGTTCTTCATAACTTAAACTTCTAGGCATGCGTTAATAGAGCACTAAACTGGTTATGAGCCATCTAACAGGAATTTCCTTTTTTTTTTCAGACTGCCTATCGAGTTTCACAACTGGTTAACATGGAAGTTAAGAAGCAGCAGCCCAGATGTGATTCATCAAGGGATGAAAGAACAGTAGGGGACTGGGGAAATGCCAAATGTCATTGCAAACACTGATGATACTGTATCCCTTAACACAGTAAATCCATGAATAAGAAGAGAGGTCCCATGCCTCAACCGTGGTTGTCCATGCGGCAAACCCATATAAAGAGAGAAAAGGAAAAAGAAAGTTCATGCCATCACAGCGTCCAGGGATACCATCTGATTTGCTTCTAATTCTGGCTCCGCTGCACCCCTAAAGAGCAAGATGGCAAGGTTCCCAATGCAGAAGTAGATAAAGCAGCCATGGGAGTGAGTCACGAACGAACCGAAATCTGTTCCCACGATGCATTGCCAACCGAGTCCATATGACCGATCAAATTCCTGCATAAGATTGCAAAAGTCCCATAACAGAGAGATTAAGATTTTATTTTAAATTTATTATCAACAGTCAAGGTCTGGTCATGGCACTAAAAGTTAATGTTGTACAAAAAGTTGTTTATATTTGCGAACTTCACCATTTTTATGAAGCGAGCAATCTCAGTGGAATCGGTGACATCGAAGACGTCGAGAGCCTTTGCAGCTAGGCCGAGGGCGTCCTGCTGCATGGTTTGGAGCATATCCGTATCGCCAATAACAGCCTTGCCTTCTAACATGGCTAGTGTAGTAAGTAGTAACCTCGAGGAGAAGATGGGGAGGGGTGGGGTGGCAATTGGCAGAACAGCAAAGATGAAGAAGGGGAGAACAAATAAAAGAAACACAAGTCTAAACGTTGTAGCCTGGGTGGGAAATGAAGTAGAGGTGGTATTGAGGATTTATAGAGAGAGAGAGAGAGAGAGAGAGAGTAAAGGGGGTTGGTTGGTTGGTTCATTTGTAATTGAGAGGAATGAGGATCCATCATCTATTGGCTGTTGATGCTGTAGATTTATTCCGTGATTGTGTGACCCTGGTGAATGCATCTTGCATGGTGGAGGTCGCATGTTGGTATACCAGCTTGGACTGGCTAGGGTCAACTCTGTTGTCATGTTGTAAAAGGACATAAAATTCCCTCCTCAGTCCTGCGAGAGATTTGGCTGACAACGTTTGACAGCCAACAGTAGGATCACCCAGCAACTCTTTCTGCGCTGATATTACAGGGAGTATGTTTGAACTTTGAAGTAACGTGTCATGCAGGGAGACCCTGAAACCAAAAGGGGTGTGTCAGCCTAAGAGGAATTTGGACAGCCAAGGAGTTGGGTGCGATTCCTCGTCCACTGAAATGGGTGTTAGCCTAATAGGAAGAGCCGAGAGGGTCCAATGAGAAGCCCCTTGTGGGGTCTATGTTTGACAGCCATCAGATTGGGGTGTGCTAATACTAGCTATGTCGATCAGATGGTTGGTACGAGGGTTGAATATTTAGATTAAGGAAGTAGGGAAGTTTAGATGAAAGACCTAACCGGGCAATGTTTAGACTTCAGAGAACTTCTAATCATGTGGTGGATTTGGTCAAGACTCAACATAACACAGAACGTGGTAGACAAGGAGCTTGTGATATTTGATCAAATGGTCATACACTCGTACCAATTGGTTGAAAAAAAAAAAACACTTGGGAGTTGGGAGTACTATAGAAAAAAAGAAAAAGAAACTATTTCGAATCTGGTTCTCGAGTTCGCTTATCTTTACATCTTGATAGGTATTCCTGAATTATGGCTGGTATATTTCAAGATGGAAAGTGATTGAAAAGCTCCATCGCATAGAGGGAGGAGAATGTAGAATCCTTTTCTTTCAGAATCAGCATATTTTTTGTTTGTTTGTTTCTTGGTTTCATTCTACATTAAATTAAATGTCGACCGTTAATGTCATTTTAAATAGATTAATTGCATAGCCCGTCCCAAGAATCATCATTTTTGTCTGCTTTCTACCATCTAACCATCCAAATAATTGCTTATTTGGGTAAAACTTTTAGCTCTTTTAGATATAAAAAGAGCATCGGCTGTTTGTTACCCCACTCAGTCCCTTAATTGTCTTTTTAATTAAAAAATATATTGATTGCAATTACCAAGGTATAAAGTATCAGAAATGCCATGTGTATCAAAAATGTAATTTTAAGAGATGTATCATGATACATCCTGGATACGTATGTGTTTTTGGAGAAAGATTGAGATAAACATAGATATGCATGGAAGCATTATAAATAATTCACTAAATTATAAAAATACATTAATAACACTAAATATAAGGCTTTAATTAGGTGTACGCACATTGAATTAATAATATTTTAATGATTTTATAAAGAAATACATCATAGTCAATTATAATGTTATTAAAAAACCTATGCTCAATTATAAATTATAATTCTTAAGTTTTAAGGGATGGGAAAACCCAACAATGCTCAATTAATATATTTTAATGATTTTATGTTCTTTTTTTTGCATATCTAACATTTTATGAATGTGATTTAGAGTTTTAGAGTCATTTGGGAGTGAATGAAGGCTTGTTTAAGAGAAAAAGCTTTTTTTTTTTTTTTTTTCGTTTTTTATCCGTATCTTTTTCGTAGCACATCGGTCAATACGTTATCGATATGTCTAATACACTTTTGATACGGTGGAAAAAAGATGATACAATCAATATTCCTTTGTATCTTGTATCGGAATTAGAAAAATACAATGCGATATGTCCCATATCTGAGTGTATTGTGTTGAAATTTGAATGCAGATGAAACTTTTTATTTGGTATTAATTATTACTTGACACGTTGCTCTTTTTAATTAGTGAATAATACAACACCACATCAACCAGCTCAAGTAACCACAAAATTTCTTTTCTTACAGAGATGATAATAGCAGGATTTTCTGGGAGGTGCCAACTAGGCTACCCCCTCACTTGGTGTGCAAATGAAGCTTTGAAATAGCCCAAGCTGTTTTTATTTATTTATTTTTTCAAACAGCCGAAATTATCTCAATTTTTGACATGTTCGTCCAGTCCTTGATATAACTATCTAAACTATCTAATTTTTGTCCAAATTCAATGGCCAAACTATTATTTTATGCTTTTGGTATTTGGTGATATGGCCGAATCCCCGATAGGAGCTGTTGAGTAGCATAACACCACGTTAATAATCCCTCCCCAAAAACAGTGATAGTAGAAATCGAATTTGTATCTGTGTTGAAACAAACCAACTGAGCCACGGCTGAGTCGGCGATGGTTAAATGATTTATGGTATTTTATATGATTAAAATACTACCAATCCTCCCATGTGGATTTCGTCAAATACTACCTATCATGTTTACCTAATAACTTACACCCCTTAAACTGCCAAATTAGTTAACTGAACATATGGGATTAAGGTGGTAATACATGTTTTAATAAAATGGCCTTAATTTTAAATATTAGTTTTACCTCCATATTTTAATTGATAGAAGTACTCAAGTACCCTTTTAAGCATTAAATACAATTTTATAGGAGTGATTAATGTGGCGTTTGGTAGTGTGTATATATCATGGATGGTCCCATCTACGGTAAGATATAGCGTTCTGCTATGTGTGGACGGTCTCCGTCCACAAAATAGCATGGATAAGGACGGACCACGCCCCAATTTATCGTCCACAGTATTTTCTCGTGGATAGTTCACATTATGGTGTAGACAATTTGTGGGAAGATTTCAGTGGACATTATGGTGTAGACATTATGGTGTTACATTTGTCCAATTACTCTCATTTTATTTAATCTTTTAATAATTTTTAAATTTTAAATTTTTAATCTTATTTCAACTATTTTTTCATTATTTAAATATTAATTTTTCTAATATTTTTATCAATAAAATAATATTTAAAATATTAAAATATTTATTTTTTTAATATTTCAAATAATAATTTTTAATTATTTAAAAAATACAATTTGTTTACATACTGATGCTTTTTTTTTCAATTTAGTTACTATATAAAATGCAAAAATTAGACATTTATGATCTACTATATATATCTCCCATAAAATGTATATGAGATACATGAAATCAATTTACACCACACTTACAGAATGCCACCATGGGTGTGGACTGGTCCGGTCCACACAATCTATTCATAGTTCAGAATAGTTGTAGATTATGGTGTGGTGTGGATTAGTCTCTGCTACAGGATATGGTGTGGATTAATCTCTGCCACAGGGTATGGTGTGGATTGATCCACACCCATCAATTCTCTTCCACATTATAGAATACCCCCTAAATGAATAAAAACCCAAAATTTATAGGCAATGATTAAAATAATGATATGCTCGATACCCAAAGTTAGGTATCTTTGTGTAATGATATGATTGATACTCATTCTTTGTTTTTTTTTTACTTTTTTTTTTAATTTTATAATAATAAGATGTTGGGGTGTATCCTTGGATTGTTTTAAAAGAACCTCTATATTGGTGTATTCAAGCATATATGAGAATACTAATATAGATACGATAGACCTCAATATAAACATATTGTATTGATATTCTACACCTATATTTAAATTTCATTTAAAATAAATGAAAATCAATAAAATCTAATAAAAATTAGTAAAAGAAAAACATTATCCAAAATCATGGATTGGATTGACTTGGCAAACTTGAATTGTCCAATTCTATTATACACACATGACAACAGATTGGAATTACACGGTGGAATTGCATCACTGATTCATTTTCACGCTAGCTTACACCAGAGGCAAAGAGGAGATTGCAGAATTTTCCTCCTATGTTGTGCCTGAACCTTGGAATTGCAGTTTTAATTTGCTTTTGCAGCAAACTAATAAACTAATCATCAGGTTCTGAATTGTACAGTGGCCAGTGGCCAACTGGCCACCCACCCTCCACCGGGAGTAAGGGGGCCGACATCAAACTGTAATCCTGTTGTAGTCTTGACTCATGAGAATGAGATGGCTCAGTATGTAGTACAAGATAGGGTCCATTTATGAGAATGAAGTCCACCAAAATTTATGGGAAGCATGAGGGAGCCCCACAAGTAATCTATTCACATCTAGCCTATCAATTAGATTTTCCACCAAGAGAATCGTTTTTCTTTTGATTTTTATGGTACAACTTTAATTCTTTCATCTCTCGTTTTTGTTCGAGGTGTCACACTTGTTTTTGTTTTGAAAAACAAAATCATATAAATATACTAGCGAGACCCGTGCGATGTATGGGATTTATTAAGCGAAAGCTAAATAATAGAAATGTTCATTTACTGAAATACCCTTTATAGTTTCATGGATTTACTAAAATCTACCCTATATTTAGCATTTTACTAAAACACCACTTATAATTTGCAGTGGATTCTGTGGAAAATGACAATGTTGACCCTAATTCTCATTTAAATAAATTTAATAAAAAAATAAAAATAAAATATTATTTTTGCCCTTAATAAGACACAAGCAACTACCCTATTGGCTATATTTGGTCAAATTTGTTTTATGTACAAAAAAAGTGTTAAGGGTATTCTTGGAATAAAAAATCATGGGCCTAATGACAAAACAAACACTCCTTTATGAAATGTTGATTAAGTAAATAAGTTGTAAAATATATGGGATGTTTTAGTAAAATGAAAACTATAAGTTGCGTTCTAGTAAATGACCCTAATAGAAACACATAAGAGTATATAATTGTTTTATATTTTCAACATTTTAAATAATTAATAATTATTCATATTTTATATACTACTTTTAATAAATTTTTTATAATACAAAAATAAAAATAATTAATTTCAGTTAGGTTTATTCATCAAACTCATGAAACTGACCAACTTGATCAACTTGACCCGAGTTGGTCAGTTTTCTAGTATTTTAGGTTAGCTTTAGTTCAAAAATTTTCTAATTTGACCAAGTTGGATCAGTTTCACTTTGGCCATTGTAAACCAACTAAAATCGAACGATCTAACCATGGATATATATTAATGTTTTATATTTTAAATATAATTTTTAATATGGAAAAGTGGAAAATTTCCCATATTTCTTAGTTTAAAATGTTTTATATCATAAATCTAATTTTTAAATTTATTTTTTAATAATTACACTATAATTTTTAAAATTTAATTTAATTTTTAAGTTTAAATCTTTTGAATCAACTGACCAAATAAAAAAATCGACCCAAATCGATAAAACTTGAGTGAGTCGGTTTTCACAAAGGGTCAGTCGGTTCCAACTTACCAACTCCCCAACTTGACCAAGTCAATTTGGTTGGCCAAATAGCCTATGACCGAATTGAACTAAC